GGGTGCTCATTTCCAAAATCTGTCTCTTATTTTTGTATTTTTTTCGCACTTTTATTCAAACCCTTTCTCCCACACTTTTTTACCCACCATATCTCACATTCCCACTCCCCCCTTTGTATCCAACATCTCAAAAGCCTGTCATCCCTCTCACTATAGAGATTAAAATATTTAAAAGCTAATAATTATATACATATGGTAAAACCCTACCTTTAATGAAGTTGAAAAATTTATTTCATGAAACGTAAAAATTAATATATTAAAATGAAAAATATGTAATTACCTATAATTTTGATATATCACTTTTCCATGGAATTAAATTTAATGTGTTGAAACCTTCCTGTTGGAGTGGACAGGATATCTATATTTAATATTTCCTGAATCTTAGACGTTTGAAGATTATGTTACATCTTGCTTTTAGTATTAAGTAGAGTCAAGAGACAGCCTACGTGTAAAATTTAATATTTAGGTTTAAATAAGGAGCTTTACATCCATTTGATACTTGAGACAATTCACCTAAAAATCTATTAAATCATAGGGGGATGTTTAAGACAGGAGGATCATGGAACATTTTGCACTATTAAACAGACTTAAAATGATCAGCATATTTGAATATTAATGAATAAAACAGTATATTTTATCAAAGGCTTAAGCTTTTTAAAAAAGATTTAATAGCTTTTGATGAGAGGAACATCTGTAAATATGAAGCTAGCATCTACCAAACAGATTGATCAAAATATCAGTGTTAAGTTTAAATACAAATTGTTTAAAAATACCATTGAAACTTCATTATCATATTACTGATCAATTAATAAAAACAGTATGTTTTTTTATTAGGCTTATGTTAAAAACTACTCCTAACTTTAAGACATCTATCATGACTATACATTCTGGGTTTTGCTCATTGTTAAAGGCAGTACTTTGACCTATAGTAATTGTTAACATCATTTGAATACTACTGTAATCTTTGATGGATAGTTGTCTCATTACCAATTGGTAGTCATACTGCATATAATTTTAAAATCTACCAGAAAGTAACCCAAACAAGCTCTGGTTTGGAGGAGGGAAAGGTTGAGGTGAAGGGGTCAAAATTTCAGATTTTTTTCACCAATATTCTCTATTCTATAGATTTTAACACTCAATTATTCTTTAATCTTTAATATTATTTTTCTCTATTTTTGTATTTTTTGGCCCATTTCTCTCTATTCTGTAAACACCATCAAGACCCTCATGAAAGACACTTTAAAAATAGATATTTATGAATACAGTTATGTCATCCTTAATTTTTTATCTTAATTTTAGTTTAAATGAATTAACCAGTATATAAATTACTCTAAGGATTGAGAATAAAGGGAAATTATGTATATCTCCATCATATAAAGAACTTTCAATGGTAAATTTAAACTTGGTGTATAAAGTCAGATCTGGTTTCAAATAAAATATATTTTTAGAAAATTGTGAATAAACAATTACATAATTCTGCAAAGTCCATATTTGGTGAAAAATTTACTTTTTCAATATTTCCTAATAGAAAATTTGCACTTTCACTCTGACTTTACATTAACAAGAAAACAATGAGTCTCACATTTTTTAAATGATGTCCTATTATGGAAAAACAACTGAAAACTTTTTCGTACAAATGACCTTTGAAGCATTATGAAATCCAAATCTATTTTATTTTAAACTCTTATATGAAAAATAAATTGGGAATGTGTCCATGGGACACAGATGATGCCCCCACTTGCATATAAAGTTATAAAGGGACATAACTCAAGAACAGTAAAAGTGACGCTACCCAAATTCATACTTGATCTGAGTTTTGTGGTAATAAGCATTGTGTGTAAGTTTCATAACATTTAGTTGAGGCAAACTTAAGTTAGAGAATGGAAATGAAAAAGTAAGCAATTTTTCCATTTGTAAAGGGACATAACTCTAGAATGGTAAAAGTGACAACACCGAAATTCAAACTTGATCTGTGTTTTGTGGTAATGAGCATTGTGGATAAGTTTCATAACATTTGGTTGAGGCAAACTAAAGTTAGAGAACGGAAGCCAATTTCGGGACATACAGACGTACAGACAAGGGTAAAACTTAGTGACCCCTCCGCTACAACGGGGGTATAAAAAGTTCTTATTCCTTTTTTTTTATTAGCAATAACTATTATCTTTATGATAGGGTTTGCATTCAGTTAGTGTTTTTGAATCTAGTGTTGTTGATTAGGGGAAAATGAAAGTGTTCAATTAAAACTTCCAATTATGACCGTAAGAATTATTATTCTCTTTTCTTACATTTAAAAAAAACCATGATGACTGTCAGCTTTAGTTTGATGCATTATTTGCAAGAATTGCCTGCATTATATAGTACTTTAACCCCCCTTATGGCGCTTCATTTTATGGTTAATCTAGACTTTTTACCGGTTCCACTACAAATTTTGTCTAGTTTGGGGGCTGACGCCCCCCTCCCCCTTTTTTCAAAATCCTGGATCCACATCTGTTCATTCACACCATCACAATCATGATACATAAAATATCAATAATTCAAATAAGGAATAAAAATTGGTTGTCTGTAAATCTTACAAGTATATCTTAAATTGTCCTCAAGAGGTTTTAACATGCTTCCACTTGACATTATTATAAATACAATAATCATCAATACCATCAATGTAGACAAAAATATCTATTACCAAAGTTCAAATACAAAATCAAAATTGTTTACATGTAATTCTTAAGATATGTTGTAATGATATCGACAGACATGTTCTTCCTCGTTATTATATATACATGTATATCGATACAGAATCTATCAACTAGGTGTGCCTATTATTTATAAAAAAATACTTCCCTGTATACTTAGTATTTGATACATTTGACTGTTAGTACATGTAGTAGATCCAGGCTTATTTAATGAAAAAAATTGCAAAGAGGTTTTCATCTATTAAGGTCACCCATAGATGTGTAAACCCTCAACTGAAAACTAAATACTGATAGGGTTTATACATCTATGTGTCACCCTACCTTATACCTAGCAATTATATTCAATCTATATTGAGAACCCCTGGAACTACATTTGTCCCTCCCCAAATTTTCAAAATTTCACAAGTTGTCCAAAAGTTAATTTGACTAAAGATAAGCATTCCCCTTTACTTATAAACTGTTGCACCATATAAAAATAGGAAGATGTGGTATGATTGCCAATGAGACAACTTTCCACAAGAGTTCAAATGATGTAGAAGTTGGCAACTGTAGATCACTGTATTGCCTTCAACAATGAGCAAAACTTATACCAAATAGCAAGCTATAAAAGGTCCTGACATGACAAATGTAAAACAATTCAAATGAAAAAAAACTAATAACCATGTCAATATTATTTTTCACAAGTGCTATTGTTGTATTACAATAAGGAAACTATTTTAATCAGGAAAAAGAATTATCAAAATAATACAATAATTTCTCTATTAAGTTATTTTCTAAGCACCTCATTATATGTATAAAGGATGGTGTCACACATTCAGTGTATTATTGAGTGTTTAAAGTGAATTAAATGTGTTGCTACTCCCTATTTTACTTTTGTTATTTTCAAAAACAATTTCAGAGCAATAAATCATTAAAATAAAAGTAAATTGCTGTCAAACCCAGCATACCCAATAATTGTCACAATTTTAAAGTCAATAAAATAAATTGCTTCAGTCTGGTTGGCATTCTACAGATAAAGGCTATGAGTCAATAGATTAATATCTATACACTGTTGTACAAATTACCTGCATAAACATCCACTGATCAATACAGTTGTCCAGTTAACTCAACATTTAACAAGAATTTTCTCTTAATTTTACACAAATGGACAAACAAACATGAATTTTTAATGTAATGACAGGACAGTGCCCTTTTTAAGAAATGAATAAGAGAGAATAGTTTTTTTTTTATAGTTCCAATTAGGGGCCCTTGATGGACAGCATGACATTTATACACACAAAACAATACACTTTGATTTGTTACAAAAAAAACCCAATTTTTTCACATTGAAATGAAATATTAAATGTTCATATAGTTATAGAGCTACATATAATTATAGTTTAGGGAAGCACTTATTGTATTTCATCATGCATGAAATATAAAATGATTATGCAGTGGCAGATCCAGGGGGTTCTGGGGGTTGGAACCCCCCTTTTTTTTGGACGATCAATGCATTTGAATGGGGACATATAGTTGGAACCCCCCCTTTATCCTGGGTTAGGAACCCCCCTTTTGAAAATGTCTGGATCTGCCCCTGTTATGACCTATTTTTCTTCAAACCCATACTTTTAAATTGAGGTGCCTTCAAACTTTAACATTTCTAGAAACCCTTTTAAAATCATATGCATTAATTAAGGGAGATTACTCATATAAAATCAAGCAAAAAAAGACCAGGGACCAGTTATTTAACACTGAGCAGTCAAACTGTTGCACATTTTGAACATCTGCTATGGTTTTTCCAGTGTAAATTAACTAGCTATTGCAATTCTTTTCAGTGCTACTTTTGGATGCATTTACTAGTATTTACAGTTCCCCATTTTTCAACTGTCAGAATCATGTAAAAAAATTAACTATTTAAAGAGAAATCTGTTCTTCTCTCTATTCCTATATTCAAATTGTTAAACGAAGTTGTACATTGTACAAGTAAACAAAAACATATGCAATGATTAATGTATAATGACTTAAATATCACATAAAGCTATGCAAGAATAAATTACTTTAAAATTATGAAATATAATTTACTATTAAAACAACAGAAATCTGTTCTTCTCTCGTATCTAGTAACAATGTCGTGCAAGTAAACTGCAACATATACAATGTACAGTGATTAATGAATTATGACTTGAATACATGTATCTTATTAAGATAAACAAGAAAAAAAATCATTTTAAATTATCAAATATAATTTACCTTTTATATAATATACCCTCTAAACATAAAAACATGTAAATAATTAGAGATTAAAAAGAATATAAAGCAGTGTGACTATACCTTTTGCATCCATCTGACTGACTGATTCATTAGATATTGATTATGAGTCAACGCTTGCTCAGGTCTCTTAACAAATCACTATTTATTATTTAAAACCAATTTTTGTACTATTAATCTACAATTCTGTGACAATACTAAAATGATAACAGGTCAACAAAATAAATACTTTTGTATGGTAGTGTATAATAATCTTTGCCTGATTTATTAAGAAAAGATATCTATCCTATCTGTCTTACAAAAAATTGATAAAAAAGAGTGACAGCTGTTATCTGTTGCAACATCTGAAATTCTTCTGATTTACTAGTAAATTATACAACTTTCACAGATAGAGGCACATAAAGGTTGAATACATAACAGAATATCTTTGCAGAAACCATTCACTTAAAAAAGAGGCTCCCATGAATTGTAATGCCCATCCCGAATATTTGACATAACAGACATTGATACTGGTACTTTAGATCTTGAGAGGAAATGATATCATCAACAGTGATTTTGAAAATGATGTTTTCATAGGACTAATAAACCTTAGTTGCTCCAGATCCTGGATTTGAAAGATAAGATGCCAATATAGATGTTTTAGATGATGGACAGCATCTGATATCTTAATATAGAAAATCTATTTCTACCATTATGAGGTTTCTAATTTGCTTTAAGAATTTAGTTACCATCACAAGCAGCTGATGTTTAAATGGACACTTTTTTGTTGAAAAACCATATAACATATAGGTTTTAGAGTAGAACCTTTGAATGTTCATAATGTAACTGATTTTACAGCTATTTTAATATTGTCTAAGGGACATCAGATAATTTTATGAAACAGTACCATTCTTCTCATCTCTACTTGATATCTTTGGATGTCAGTCTTAGGGAGCTACCATTTGATTTTTATGGGGGGGGGGATTGAGCAACTTGGCAAAAAAAAAAGGCAGGATGACAATTTATGTAAAAACAGTCGGGATAAACTAATAAAAAAAAGGGCAGGACCTAATAGAGTGGAAAATAAAAAGGCAGGACAGAGATTACAACTAAAAAAAAAATGCAGGACCAAATTTTTCTTCTAGCCCCCCCATAAAAATCAAATGGTAGCTCCCTTAATCACATTTAGCAAATGCTGAAAACAATTACTGTCAACAATACAGAAAGATTCCTGTTTCAAATTCTCAAAAGTTATTTGTTCATATGTAAATAACTGGAGATAAAAAAATCACATTTTTTAATAAAAAATTCTCATCAAATTATTTATCTGTCCTATCTCTGATGTCATAAATCAATTTTTATCAATAAGCTTGTTGTATAATAAATTGATTAGAATTGGATCTACACCATAATGAGATTTATAATGTAACTGATATTTTATTATCATGGAACTATTCATCAACATTGTAGTATGATTGTACACAACTTTCATTGTATTTTCACAGTACCATTGTTCCTCTCCTGATGGAGATAAGAAGGTTGGTTCAGTACTCACAAAACTAGTTTACACGATATGTTTTATGTATAAATAAAAGGCAAATGTGAGGTACATGTATAAGCAATTGAGATACTGTAAATTCAGAAATTATTGCGTGCATTTATTATTGCGATTTTGTCATTTTAGACTAAAATGCGATTTTAATTTTTGCGATATTGAGAAAATCCTGTTTAACTCATATAGAAAATTTCAAAATGCGAGTTTTAATTATTGCGATTATAACCCGGTCGCATTTTTCGCAATAATAAAAAACATCGCAATAATTTCTGAATTTACAGTAGCATAAAACCCAATGACACAATAAATAGCTGCGGCATGAGTGCTATAGATACTGTTAAGTGTGAAACTTTTCGCACTATCGTAAGATAAGATTCTGAAATTATCTCATCTACCAATTTGATCTGTTATGACATTAAGCCCTCGCAAACAGGTTTAGCCTTTGAAATAGCAAAATTTTATATCTGTGAAAATAAAGAGTTTTACAGTATGCCTGTTTTATACATATTGAAGTAGTTTGAAGAATAAAATGGAATATTGCTGAAGGCATTAAATCAGAGGTCAGTCAAGTTAAAATCCCATAACTCTTAGAATGTTCTACCAGTGCTTATTTGAAAAGCCTGTCACTTTCTCAATACCATTTAGGTATTAAATTCAAAGTTGCAGTTTTTATTCATCTTTTCAACTGATCTATTTGTGAAAAAAAAAAATTTAGCCCAATTTTCGTAAAAGGTTGTTAGTGTGAAATTCTTACAATCCTATTAATGTGACTACAAATTGAATTGAAAAGGATTGAACAGTCACTAAAAAAAGTTTGACTTGGATATGAAAAGTTTTATCAGATTGACAGTTTATAAGTTATTTGTTCTAAAACTCAAAACATATGAAAGGGAGATAACCTGTATTGTGATTGCATTATAATTACATGCTGTAAGATTATTTCTCTTTAATATAGGTATATTTTACTTCAGTAATTACAATAGAATAGTATATTAAAATTACAAGCACATGAGAAGTCTTTGTGCAAAACAAGTAAAATATCTGACATTCTACATAATAAAGTCAACCTCTGGAATGGAAGGCAACAGAGACATATATTTATGTTTCTGATGAAAAGAATTTTATTATATTACTCTACAGTTTGTATTCATACTAACCTCTCACTAGCAATGAGGCTAAAGAAGTAAGTTCAGTTATAAGGCAATACTTGGCTCCAAATATTAATTCCATTGTTGTAAGACAAAATAAATGGAGAATGGATTAGAATGTGTCCATGAGACACAGATGATGCCCCTGCTTGCATACAACGTTCTAAAGGGAAATAACTCAAGAGCGGTAGAAGTGACACCACCCAAATTAGAATTTGGTCTGAGTTTTGTGGTAATACACATTGTGTATAAGTTTCATAACATTTGGTTGAGGCAAACTTAAGTTAGAGAAACGAAACGAAAAATTCAGCAATTTCTCCATTTGTATAAAACGGTAAAAGTGACTCCACCCAAATTTGAACGTGATCTGTGTTTTGTGGAAATAAGCATCATGCATAAGTTTCGTAAAATTTGGTTGAAGCAAACTAAAGTACAAGAACAGAAACTAATTTTGGGACGTATGGACAAGGGTAACACTTCATGCCCATCCACTGTGGCAGGGGCATAAAAAGTTTCAAGATAATAAAAAGTTATAAAGCATTAAAATTTATAACCCAAATAAGCCTTTAGAATAGATTTTGGTAACATTTGACAAAATTGTTTGAATTTCAACAAAATTTAGGCCTAGGAAACATATAGTGCAGGCTTAGACAAACTTAATATTTAAGTCAGATATGTAAAAATTTACAACAAACGTAATGTTAAAAAAAAAAATTGTCGATGCATGTGCTCTACGAGGGTGTGGATGGGGGTTTACAGAATAGAGAATAATGAGCAAAAATACAAAGAATAGAGAAAAATGGACCAAAACAAAAAAGAATAGAGAATAATAAGGTGCTAAAATATAAAGAATAGAGAATAATGGGCAAACATATAAAGAATAGAGGAAAATGGCTTCAAAAATTAAAGAATACAGTAATGAAGGACCCCATCCAGACCCTTCTCTTGTTTTTAATCCAGAAAATCAATGGAAATTCACACATTTTCATTGAATTTTTTGGTTAAAAATAAAAATGTGTGCTATTTGTAACATCAATAAAAGAAGACTAATATGTAAATTTTCAACAAATAAACAAATATATTCCCTATTCATTCATTGTGATTTTGGTCAATAAATCCTAATTTGAAATATTAGCTATAAATAGGGGCCATTTTAGGGCCTTATCAAACATACTCCTTTTTCACCAATTGATCAGTTTAAAGACATGAATTCAAGCAGAAACTTAGAAAAACTTTTTAGCACATTGTGAAAGGGCAAAATAAATTGAATTAGTCTTCCATGTCTCCATTTATATTACAAAGACAATTACACCTCCACTTTGGGATGCTTAGGCCCACACTTTCTTCCTACTGACTAAAGTAGATCTGTGACATTTTGATCATAGTTAACTTATGACTCATATGAGGGTCATTTAATTGGTTATCATAAGTTATTAAAAAAAAATAAGCTTGCTATTTTGAGTGATATCACTTACTTGCTTTTGTAAGATTATATCTTTAATTTTGGCCCTTGAATGCACTTAAAGATATATTGCATTTCAAAAGGATTTTGAAATCCAAATATGTTTAAATTTGCAACAAGATAAAAATAAATTGATAGATCTATGTTTTTAGTTTCTTCTGACAGCTTGTTCTTTGATTTACCTGTGTTGCTTGGTTGCTGTAGCACTGACATTCTCCAATGAAGAATTTCTTTTTTTATTATGTACATGATATTCAACATATTACATCATGTACAATAAGAATTGAATCTAAATGAGGAAATCAAGGCCAAATTCAGGTAACATCTGCATAGACCTTACAATGAATATTGACTTTATCTTATTAATCTTTACACGATCTGTTCCATAACTTCTCGATATTTGCCTTCATTATATGTTCACTAGATAACATAGATTGGTAATGGAAAAAAATATAATATTGACCAAACAAGATTGTTGATGTTTAATGCAACTTTTCAGCTATGTTGGCTAGGTCATGGTGGTCAGTTTTTGTTGGTGGAGAAAGTAAATGTGCCTGGAGAGAACTATGGACCCCCATTATGAAAACTGACAATCCTATTCGATTAAGATTGGAGTCGATAACCCTGCCACATGCTGGGTTCGAACTTACAACCTCCATAGGACATTATATCAGATTTGAACAAAACTCTCATTTGGCATACATTAAAAAAATGTATATTAAGTTTCAAATTGATGTGACCTCATCTTCTTGGTAAGCAACCTTAAAACCAACTTTAATAATAGGACTCATTTCTGTTTTCATTGAACTGCGAAATCTGGATCAAACCCTAATTTAGTTTCAATATAATGTGATTATAACTTCATGATTAACTACCTTTAACCAAAACTTTTAAGGATCCTGATGGACAGGCATACAGTTCTTACAACATAGTCTCTCTTCCAATCATAAAAAGACATATATATAAAGACTCTAAAATTTAAGATTCTTTATTTGAACTGGTTCCAATAATTTGACCTAAATATTTTTCCCACACGGATACCCCACTCGCACTACCATTTTCTATGTTTAGTGGACGGTGAAATTGGGGTCAAATTAGAAAGATCATATCATAGGGAACATGTGTATTAAGTTTCAAGTTGTTTGGACTTCAACTTCATCAAAAACTACCTTGACCAAAAACTAAAACCTGAAGCGGGACAGACCGAAAAACATAATGCCCCTCTACTATCGTAGGTGGGGCATAAAAATAATGAGGTTCTCCAGTTATCATCCAAAAACCAATATTAAATGACAGGAAAAAGACAAATTACCCTGTGCTACTACAGGATTAGATTAATGTTTGTTGTACATCAAGTGGCATTTATTTCACGGACATTCAGAGTAAAAACATGATTAACAATTCATCAAATAAGTAGATTTGGAATGCCACTAGAAAAGACATTGATTGATTGATGGTGTTTAACCCCACTCTCAACATTCTTGGCTATATCATGGTGACCTTTGATAGGAAAACTAAAAAAAAAATTCGAAAGGGTTCCGCTGAACCAAGTGTCTCGCCTACTTTTTGCTGCTAGTCACAGGTTTAACAAAAATGGGGAAAATATTATTAAAAATTTTCTTATAGATACTATCTTTTGATTGTACAAGGCTTCTGTCCAAGTTTGGTAAAAATTCAGAATGGTCTATGAATCTAATAAATGTTTTAAAAACTTTTACAGACTGTATGTAATGTTAACTGGAAGAAAAACTAAGTCCATTTATAAGTAATATACGGAAAAACAGGAAATATATTTTTACAAAATTTCCTTCTAGATACTAGCTTTTGATCATAAACAAGCTTCTGTCCAAGTTTGGTACAAATCCAGGATAGTTTAAGAAAGTTATTAAAATTTTAAAAACTTTAACCAGAGTGAATGTTGTGTTAACTGGCAGAAAAACTAAGGGCTATTCCAGAAAAAAATGTATGGGGGGGTTGGAAGGCACTTTATATTAATAATACATGGGTGATGGGTATCAGAGAAACTTTTCACATATATAGTGCACTCTGATTCTAAATTACGATTGTCTGGGTGGCGGGTGCTGAAAAAAACTGCCTTCCAACCCCCCCATACATTTTTTTCTGGAATAGCCCTAAGTCCATTTATAAGTAAAATACGGAAAAACAGGATTTTTTTTTTTACAAAATTTACTTCTGGATATTATCTTATGATCATAAACAAGCTTCTGTACAAGTTTAGTAGAAATCCAGGATAGTTTAAGAAAGTTATTAAAATTTCAAAAACTTTAACCACAGAGTGAATATTTGTAGACGCCGCCGCCGCCGGAATGTAGGATCGCTATGTCTCGCTTTTGCGACAAAAGTCGCAGGCTCGACAAAAATGGTATGTTGCATAAGGGTAGAAATTTTCCATGGCTCAGACAACCTATGGACCAATCAGAGAGTTGCTGCAAGGGTTCTTTAATGTGCAGAGAGCATGGCACTCTTCCTAAACTAGACATTAGATTTTATGTATCCTGATAAAATGGACAATTTTCCATTGATCTTGTACACTTGAAATAATTTAATAGAAAGTAAAAACAGCCTGATTTCACACTACAATAAAGCAGTAAACACAGTTAAAAAACTATTGATTGTTGGTGCTTAAGTTAATGTCACAGTTAAAATAACTATTGATTGTTGGTGCTTAAGTTAATGTCACAGTTAAAATAACTATTGATTGTTGGTGCTTAAGTTAATGTCACTTTCAACACTATTGGCTATTAAGTGACAGCCAATATTGTTCGGTGGAAGAAGCCGCAGTACCTGGAGTGAACCACTAACCTTCTGCATAAAAAAACCCAGCAAACCTAGTCAATTAAAATCGTAGTCAAACACAAGTTCAAACTCACAACACTCAATAATTTAACAGTATGGCAGTTTCTGTAAATATTTTGACTTGACCTTAGGTCAGATATCAATAAAGACAAGAGATGTTTAACAGATTTTATTACTACTGAAATATACTAACAAAGAAGACAGATCATAAGATCGTAATGGTTTAATAATGATGATGTTAATATTTCAACATAATACGTTCAGGAAGTTCAAAACACTTCAAAATAAATATTTATATAATATTTTCTAATTCATAATAATTATTCTAAAATCTTTTCAAAGTTAAAAATGAATTTTTATCTCTTTGAATTTTTTTTCATCAATCATCAACTTTTTCTATTTGAAGTCCGATACGATTGGTACTTATAAAGTTATACATGTACAAAACATACATTGGTGTTCTGCCAACTAACACCACTTATACCGAAACTTTTACACATCAAGTCATAGAAGAACAATGTCATAATTCAATTCTCTAACAACCAAAATCATACAATCGTCAATAAAATTTCTTGCAAATTCAATTTTAATTGTACTATCAGCTATTTTAAACATATACCTTTATTTCATGGACTTATAACCACTCCTGATTTGTTTCAATAATAAGAATTGAGATAAAATAAAATATCATTACACATCGTAGTATTCCTACATGGAACTTCTTTATACAAATTGATAAAATATGATTTTACTGCATATACACAATACATACAGTTAATTTATGTATTATGAGAAATACAGTTACTTTATGTTTTATGAGAAATACAGGTCCATTATGAATTCTGAATGGCATCGGTTAAGACGGACTGATCTTCTATGGGATTGAATGGAATGTTGGCTGATAATAAATCATGGAAGAAGCTCCCGTCATTGTTACCTCCTCCAAATATTAAAACTTCATCCTGTTCTTCATTTTCATGATTGTATGGTAGACATATGGCCTGGTGACCAGCTCTTGGTATTGGACTGGGTTCCAGTTTTATCTTCATCCAGGATGATGTAGCTGAAAATGGAAGAATAATTTATTCCATAACTGTATATTGTGATTTTTTTTTTTTAAATGAGCTGAAAATATTAACTTTATTTCAGTTTTTTCCATGTTTTACTTAATTTTGAGGATAATATAAACATATTTCTACCAGATAATTGTTTTGATATCAATTGTATTCATGGATAAACTAATTTCACAATCAAGTAAAAATCCACATGAGCTGCAGGGTTCATGAATAACTCACCACATGTGTGAAAATGTAAATCTTACAAGCCATGTGTGAAGATTTGTAAACCAATTACTCACAAATTTGAAAATGTGTAAATCAATTACTTGCCAAATGTAAAGAAATGTAAATGAATTACTCACCAATGTAAATTTTACTCATCATGTGGGAAGATATGTAAATGAATTACTCACCGAGTGAGAAGATATGTAAATCATACTCACCATGTGTTAAGATATGTCAAACATACTCACCAAGTAAGATATGTGAATCAATTACTCACCAAGTGTGAAAATAAGTAAATCAATTACTCACCAAGTGAAGATATGTAAATCAATTATTCACCAAGTGTGAAGATATGCAAATCAATAACTCACCAAGTGAACATATGTAAATCAATAACTCACCAAGTGTGAAGATATGCAAATCAATAACTCACCAAGTGTGAAGATATGTAAATCAATTACTCACCAAGTGTGAAGATATGTAAATCAATTACTCACCAAGTGTGAAGATATGTAAATCATCCAATGCCAGATCACCATCATAGCCACCATGTATCATTATTCTGTTCCCTTTCAAAGCACAGGAGGCATGCCAACTGTAAATAATGGAGATATTACTTAATACCAAATGATGGTAAGGCTATACAGCAAGATAAATGTAAAGAAAAATAAATGAAGACTAGACATATCAGCAAGGACCCCACTTGCAAGTTTTTGTGTGAGGCAAAGAAACAACTAGAATTAGGTGATCTAGTGTTCACAGATACCACCACTTACAGTAAAACTCTTTCAAAGAAAAAGCCAAAACCAAAGTTCAAATTGAATGTGACCTGTATTTCATGTCCATAACCATGTGTTAAAATGTAAATAGATTTGTCAAACATTACTTTCATTGTCTCTAGAAAACCAAATTTAAAAAAAATAAAATTTTTAAGTTAAATAAGGGAATAAACTCTACGAGTAATCCCAGTGGTACTTCTATTGACATCCAGAAACCGAAGAAATACTAAATTTTAAGATAACTAAGGGCATATATCTTGATCAGTAGATGTCAAAATCCATGGTCAAGTGGTTTTTTAATTATCATCTTGAAACCAAACTTGTGATGGACAGTGTATGGACATGTGCATCACTTAGTATCCCCATCCCCCTTTTGGAAGTGGGGGTTAGCGGATTTCTTGATACAATGTACAAGGAAACATGAAACTAAGTTTCTAATGCCATGCATATTTTTCATTTGAGTTTTAATGTGCAAGGAATCATGAAACTAAGTTCCTAATGCCATGCATATTTTTCATTTGAGTTTTAATGTACAAGGAATCATGAAACTAAGTTCCTAATGCCATGTATATTTTTCATTTGAGTTTTAATGTACAAGGAATCATGAAACTAAGTTCCTAATGCCATGCATATTTTTCATTTGAGTTTTAATGTACAAGGAATCATGAAACTAAGTTCCTAATGCCATGCATATTTTTCATTTGAGTTTTAATGTAATAATCATAAACAATGCCATTTTGAAAATGGCAACCAACAGATATTTTAAAATATAATGCATATTTTTTGACAATCATATTCTATCTAGGTATCAAATTTATACAACTGATTTTGAACTTTACCTTCTTGGTGATGGAGGTGTTCCATTAACTTTTGGTTTTGCCCATTCCACAATACCTGAAAAAGTAGTGCATAATTTATATATATATTACAGCACTACAAAATCATAGTGCAAAAATCTTAACAATTTCACAATAATTTGACTTTATTCGTTTGTCCTATAAAAAATTACAAACTTATCACCAATTTATATTTTTTTCACATTAAAAGTGTTCAATAAAGTTTCTTATAAAAAGAAGGTCTCACATTCTGGAAGTTTGGAAAGTTGATATCTATGTAATTTGCTATTACAGAATCTACTGCATTCTGGGTAATATTTTCAAACGTCCTAAACAGTTGAATTCAACAAATGATGTGACATTATTTTTATTTTTGGATACAAAGTATTAAATTACCAACAGTCCTTTAGATTCAGAAATGGTGAAGTGCACTAACAATTTTGTCTGTTATAATATATATTAATATTTACTGGAAGTAATCTTTTACAATGGAAAACAGGCATATTGCATACTGATTTTTCAGTTAAATATTAGGTAAAGAGAACATAAACCAGTAATTCTTTCCTGATTATTATGTGGTTTAAAGGGGTTAAGATTTATTTTTCTCAAAAATACTTACTCATATCTAGTATATAGAGGTCATTGTAACAGTATGGGGCATCCCAACCTCCAAACATGACTAGCTGGTCATTTATCAAAGTTGCTGAATGTCTAAAATATAAATAAAATGTTAATAAATCAACTAGAGGAGTGATTGGTGCTATCACATGTAAATATACAAATTGAGTTGAAATTTTAGAGGTAATAAGAGTGTCTAAGTTCAACAAATATTTTGACCATAATCATCAATATTTGGCTTTCTTCCTTGTATGTGACACACGTTCTAGTAGTCTTGAATGCTTATGGCACAGTTTCATCTCCGAACTCAAAGTGGTTTTAAGATTATTAGGTTGCAACAATTTAATGTGGTAGATTTTTGTTCAACATGGCAGTACCTACATGGATATATATTTTTTTCAATTTGGCCTTTATTTTTTCACCAATTTACATCTATACCAATTCTTTTCTTACCCTGATCTTGGTAGCGGCTTCTCTCCATTGACTATCGGTGCATACCAGTTTTCTAGAACGGGACTGAAGATGTGTACTTCATTACTGCAACCATCAGGCTGAGGGTCTGGACGGGGGTAAACTCCACCAAATATCCATAACTCATTACGATAAAGTGTAGCACTATGATAGGCTCTGGTAGGTGCTTTCCCTGCCACCTTCATTATAAATCATTAAATATATATGAATATAAGAACATGGGGTAAATTATTCTTCTGAAATAACTGTAAAACTACTAATTCAGAATTTCAAATAATGTATTCAACCTACTATTAAACTAGTGAGTGTAACATGTATTTGGAAAAAATACAAATGTCTTGACCATTAACCAAAAACTATAAATAGTTACAGAATTTGAAGATATGACATTAGTCCTATTCCGATACATAGGTACTTTCTATTGAAATATACTGGTTATGAATTTTTGTGATCAAATTTTAAGTTTAAAAAGTCCTTTGGAAAATTTTGTACATGTATGTACATCCAAGCCTTTTTAGCAGCATGTGGTCAATTACATGTACATCGATGACAGTGTTTATGGAGATAAGGTATAATAATGCACCGAAGATCTTTAAATTTTTCCAATCTAATATATGTTATGGAGCATTCTATACTTCATTATATATCTTGCATGTACAAATGTATGAATATGTTACGTTGAAGTAAAATACAATGAAAACTGAAAAAAAAAAAAACCAACAAGAATCTGTGCCAATAAGACACCATGACCCTCTTGTACTATATTTCCATATTCGATGAACTGTGAAATTAGGGTCAGAACCCTACTTTGATAAATAATTTTAAAAGGTTAGGGTAAAAAAACTAGAGGCTCTAAAGAGCCTGTGTCGCTCACCTTGGTAAAGTGCATATTCAACAAAGGACACTCTCCAACATTGTAGATGAGAATAGAACTTGTGACAAAAATATCTGTTTTGTTGATCTTGTATGGCTGATCATTTAGTCTGTTTAGTTTCTCTACATCTTCTTTAGTTTTTGCTCATAACGCAAAAAAGTGTAAAAAAAAATCCTCATTTAAGGGCAATCACTCCTATAAAGAGTGACAGTCTAGTAACTATATCGACAAAATTTGACTTTTAGTAGATCTTGCCTTGCTGGTCATTTTTGTGATTTAAAGTGTCTATTTATCTATTATAATTTTTATCATATAAGGCAAAACACAAAATAAAGGTAAAAATCGTCATTAAAGTGCAATAACTCCAATAAGGGGTGGTCGGACGATTTCCACCATATCGTCTTAATTGTAGATCTTGTATTGCTGAACATTTTTGCTTATTTAGGTTTCTATCTATCTATTACAATTTTTAAAATATAAGGCAAAAACGCAAAAAATTGGTAAAAATCGTCATCAAAGGACAATTATTCTAAAAGGTATATATATCGACCATGTAGACCTATTTGTAGAACTTGTCTTTGTGATCATTTTTGCAATTGAAAGTTTCTCTCTAAATATTATAATTTTCAAGATAATAGGCAAAAATTAAACAAGAGTGCACACGCTGAAATGTCTCGCCTTCTTTACTAATCATTGATATAATGGTGATAGTCCTAAATATAAAGCTTTATTACAACTGTCACATAAACTTAACATTAACCAAGTAAACTAAACATTGACCAATGAACCATGAAAATTAGGTCAAGGTCAGATGAACCATGCTAGGCAGGCAACAGCTAACAATTCTTCCATACAACAAATATAGTTGACCTACATTGTATTGCTTATAGTTTAAGAAAAACAGACCAAAACACAAAAACTTAACACTGAGCAATGAACCTTGAAAATGAGGCCAAGGTCAAATAAAACCTGCGTGACTGCACAATAGATCATGAAATATTTCCATACACCAAATATAGTTGAACTATTGCATATAGTATTAGAAAAAAAGACCAAAACTCAAAAAACTTAACTTTGACCACTGAACCATGAGAATGAGGTCAAGGTCAGATGACACCTGCCCGCTAGACATGTACACCTTACAATCATTCCATACACCAAATATAGTAGACCTATGGCATACAGTATAAGAAAAACAGACCAAAACACAAAAACTTAACTATAACCACTGAACCATGAAAATGAGGTCAAGGTCAGATGACACCTGCCAGTTGGACATGTACACCTTACAGTCCTTCCATACACCGAATATACTAGACCTATTGCTTATAGTATCTGAGATATGGACTTGACCACCAAAACTTAACCTTGTTCACTGATCCATGAAATGAGGTCGAGGTCAAGTGAAAACTGTCTGACAGGCATGAGGACCTTGCAAGGTACGCACATACCAAATATAGTTGAACTATTGCATATAGTATTAGAAAAAAAGACCAAAACTCAAAAACTTAACTTTGACCACTGAACCATGAAAATGAGGTCAAGGTCAGATGACACCTGCCCGCTAGACATGTACACCTTACAATCATTCCATACACCAAATATAGTAGACCTATGGCATACAGTATAAGAAAAACAGACCAAAACACAAAAACTTAACTATAACCACTGAACCATGAAAATGAGGTCAAGGTCAGATGACACCTGCCAGTTGGACATGTACACCTTACAGTCCTTCCATACACCGAATATACTAGACCTATTGCTTATAGTATCTGAGATATGGACTTGACCACCAAAACTTAACCTTGTTCACTGATCCATGAAATGAGGTCGAGGTCAAGTGAAAACTGTCTGACGGGCATGAGGACCTTGCAAGGTACGCACATACCAAATACAGTTATCCTATTACTTATAATAAGAGAGAATCTAACATTACAAAAAATCTTAACTTTTTTTCAAGTAGTCACTGAACCATGAAAATGAGGTCAAGGACATTGGACATGTGACTGACGGAAACTTCGTAACATGAGGCATCCATATACAAAGTATGAAGCATCCAGACCTTCCACCTTCTAAAATATAAAGCTTTTAAGAAGTTAGCTAACGCCGCCGGATCACTATCCCTATGTCGAGCTTTCTGCGACAAAAGTCGCAGGCTCGACAAAAAAATGGCAAAATTGGTCATTGGGGGTTGGGGTTGCATGAAAAACACAAAAAAAACCAAAACAGTTTTTGTATATTTTTATGTTTTATATTCACTTGTTGCAATAAAAACTTACTTTTAAGAGCTGCCATTTAAATTCATCTACGTCTAACATGTGTACATCATGGAACCATTTGAGGTTTTTAGATCCACCATACACATATACACATCTGAGTGTAGGGTCATAAGTTGCTGTATGTCCCATTCTATATTCTGGTTTCTGGTTCGGTATCTCACTGGTAATTTCCTGGTCTCTCCATTTCCTTGTCACTGTAACAGTAAAAATACAGAATTTTAAAATGTGCAAAAATCTCATTGATGAATTTGTAAAGCCTTTTCAAAGTTTAATTTCAACAGTAAAATAAAATTTCATTGTGTATAAACAATTTAATTCGTTCTTGGGTGAATTTCAGAAATAATAATGCCAACATATAAAAAGATTTTTTTTTACTCACCATAAGTTCAAAACAAAGAACAAGAAATTAATAAACAAGTAAAAATTATGATATGCTCCATTGCTGTAGTCACAATCACGTTTACAATGTATGAATGCTTACCGATATGTTATTGCATGTCACAGTAAGAGTGTTTGTTCAATCAAGTCATTTACGCTGATTGACTTGAGGTCATCTAGTGTAATTCTCATAAAAAGGAACTGGAAATGGAATCTATTTATTTTTTACAACATCAGCAGAATGATGGGTGTTTATTTATAACTTACTTCTTAAGGCAGAGACATCTATTAATCCACCAGTGATGATGATGTTTATTGATGTCTGTTTTAACATTGGCAAATTAAAAGGCATATTCAGGATGAGGACATATCATGTTAAGTGTGATGATAACAACCCTACTTTTTTCTAGTCCAACATACAGAGCCAGATTTTTAACATGCTAGTTCAGAAAGAAAGTCTGTGGAATGACGAACCCTACCGGGACACGTTTTCCCAACTATGAGTCAACCAGTCTTTCCTCTCACTCCTAAATGCTGTAAATGCGTGAAGCAGCAAATACCATTTTTCAAGTCTTTTGGTTTCAGTGGCCAAGGATCGAACCTACGACCCTAATTTTTTTTTTAATGCACCCTTACACGTTACCTTTCTTAGAAGGAAAATGAACAAAAGTTTAAGGATTTGAACTAAGTGAGACAGAGCTCAGATTTGGTTTTATTATGTAGTAATTGACATCACTTTACCTGGATCTAAAGACCACACTGAATCTTTACTGATTTGCTGTCGTTCTCCTTGTCCACCAATCAATACTCCCATGTTGTCATGTACCATACAGAAACTGTGGCCCCATCTACTACTGGGGTGTGGTGCTAAAACACACAAAATTGATAATATAGTTAACTGTGGCCCCATCTACTACTGGGGTGTGGTGCTAAAACTCACAACATTGATGATATAGTTAGCTGTGGCCCAATTTTCTACTGGGGTGTGGTGCTAAAACACACAAAATTGATAATATAGTTAACTGTGGCACCATCTACTACTGGGGTGTGGTGCTAAAACAAAATTGACAATATACTTAACTGTGATGTGAAAAATCTCTGAAAAGTTGTTTTTCATGAAAATGTAACACTAAAAACAAACAGGAGTATAAAGTCGTACTGTACCATCATTTTTTTTTTAGTTCAGAACATACTAATTCTGATAGAAATCATTTGAAATAATGTGATGGCAGCACTTGAACTCTCTTCAGTGTGGAGGTGTAAAATGGTTGTGTCTAGTGTTTCCAAATTTCGTGAAGCAGGAACCAAAAGTATATGTTGCCATTCCAACATTTGCTCTAGAAACATACCCAAGAACTTCAATTAGTTAATTTTGAACTTTAAAATTGTCACAAAATATCGTCCTATGTTTTGGGGGTAAAGACTTGTTGCACTCTGAACACGTGGCAATTGTTTATTTACATTTTCTACATTAACACGTGATCATCTTAAAGGCGCTTTTTGATTAGATGCAGCCAGTAACAACTGCGAACAACATTACCTCGTGGATCCGAAATTCTACCTTAATTCGACAAGGGTGGAGAGGAGGGGACTGGATTGTAACCCTTGGCTAGCGAAGACATTTTTTAAAAAAAACTTTTAAGCATTTTTAAAAATGCATAAAATAAATTTGATATCCCATTACCTCTTCTCCCTCTCCCCCAAAACAAACCAGGAAGTTAAAATGCCATTCAAATTACAATTGCCTTACAAACACTTCTTGATTTTCACGGATAAACTTCATACCTCTACTAGTAACATCTTTACAAGTTGCCAGCGTGGGTTTACTGGTGACAACTGGTTTACTGTTTGGAGAAAGACTCAGTTTAAGTGGAGAAGGTATTCTGGGTGATGAAATATTTTCTTTTTCTTCCAAATTGACTTCAGTAACTGAACTGTTTAACTTAGTTTTTAGATTTCTTGTTCTTGTTTTTGGTTTCTTAGATGATGGTCCAGTTGGTGTTTGGTCAGATTTAGTCAGACTTGATCTACGTTTCTGTTTCACAGGTTTGTTGTTTTCTTCAGTATTATGATTTACCTATTAAAATAAAATAAAAATTCCTTAAGAAATATTAAATGCAGATGGCACATACTGTAATAGTTGATAATTTGTCATTTCATTGCATTAACTTTTTGAAAAAGTGCTGAATGTGCACATCAAATGATAAGTGTGTCCATCTTTATTGTAGATTTCTACCAATAATTCACACATTTATAGGATTGTTAAATATGCTAAAAGTATACCAAATGAAAATTTGTACATGTACTGCAAGCATCTATCTGTCACATACATTAAGTTTCAATTGTTTTTTTCCCCACCATTATCTTCTGATAAGGAAACCAAAAATACATGTAATACACCTACAAACATGTATTTTAAATAATTGTTAGTTGGAGAAAGTGACAATTTTGAAAAATCATATTTGGAAAGAGATTAAATGTGTTGAACTACTTTGTTTTAAATATACATGTACAAATCTCCAGTTTGTTCTTTTGACTGGGCCTGATTTGGTGGTGTTACATCTTACAGTCTATCCGAATTATTTTTGCAAAGAATTCCGCTCAAGCCAGGATTAGGGGACGTCTTAAACTTGCTGTGAGATGAGAGTCGATAAGCATCGTGTTGAAGGCCTCACTCTGACTTTGAATCAAATTGCTGTTCCTTTACTTTTTGTGTTTTTGCTGTGCATTTACTGATTTTGTGTCATGGATGGATACCCGATATCCTTTTTTTTCTATTAAATAGCACATGCATATGTTTTAAAAAATATCACAGATTTCTGTGTTTCCTGCATAAAAAAAAATATGATACATACATGAACTTTGGGAGTATCTTCATTTTCTTCCTGTTTTATGATAGAATCATCAGCTGATTCTAAACTGGTCTGTCGATTCTGAACTTCCAACACTAACTTAGCTAGACCATTCTGTTCAGATGAGAATACATTGCTGCTGCTTTTCTTCATCATTCTTCTTTCCCAGCACAAACATCTTAAAAGAAAACATGTACACTTATGTAAGTTATTCACACATACAATTCACAGAAAGAATTTTATTTTCAAAATTCTATATATCTTTAGTGCATAAATTGAAACCTAATATAAAAATAAGAGATGTGGTATGATTGCCAATGAGACAACTATCCACCAAAGTTCCAAATATGAAAAGGAAGATAATGTTGTTTTTTTTTAAATAATAAAGTTTAATTATTTATATGTTTATCTAAAATAAAAGCAATGCAATTTATATTCAAAAGAGCTTTTAAATTTATATTCAAACTAGCTCGATAAATACAGTGGAGTCATAACTGTTCAAGATTATTATTTTTTTCTGGATTTTCAGTGGTAAAAAGTTCTTTCCCAGAAACTTGATTTGGCCAACAAGAGCAGCAAAATCAAGTATCCACAAATCTTCCACATATTTTGTCCATATAGGTTGAATACAAATAAAGTGGTTGTTGTTAAACAAATCAAATTTCCAAAAGGCTTGATACATGTATCTTGGTTTCCAATTTCTAAATTCTGCATGTAAGCCTAAAGGAAATTTGCATTTTGTTCAACACCTAAATTTTTAGGTTTAGTAGCCTTTACTCAAGATATCAACTGAAATTATTATCCAACCATTAATAATAAATCCAAATAAATTACCTTTGGTTTCTAGTTATTTTTCCAAGCTGTAGTGGTTCATCTTTATAGGTGATGGTAGCCTCTATACATTGTTGAGATTTTGTCCAATCTCCCAATGTAAAAATGAAGATCTGATTAGGTAAAGGCAGTGGTATAAACTGGTAGTGACTATTGCCATCTTCTCTCCTGTTTTAAAAATAGAAATACAATGTAATCAGGCCACACTTAAAAATATTTTGGTTTGCCCAAACCCTACCCAAAGGTAGAGACAGTGGGTAGGTAGGTAGGCATTTTCTTTTTTTTTTCGGCAAAGAGAAATTGAAGTGTCAGATTTTTTTTTAGTATTCATGCCTACATGTATCTGATTAAAAAAAAAACTTTTTCACATCAAGACAATAAAAGGTTTTTAGTAGGCAGATATTTTCTGGGTAGGTAGGGTTAGGGCAAACAAACATATTCTTTTTTATGGCCTCATATGAATTAGGCCAATAAAATAGATGAAAGTTTCCTGCCTCCTTTTGACTTTATTCAGTCTGTGATTGCATAGGCCCAGTTGAACAGGTTGGGGGCCGGGAGTATTATAAAACCCAAATGGAATATAATATTACTGTGCAAAATTTTTTTTTTAGGATTAAAGGTAAATATTGCAAAGTACAAATGATTACATAAAAGGCAGACATGATTTTGGCTAAATTCAATAATTTAGATTTTTTGCACTAAAAAATAAACCAAATGTATATCCCATTTTGACTATAATACCCCAAAAGGGTTATTAGGACCCATTAGGGTGATAATTCGAAACTTGTTTAAACAATGTTAAACAACAAACGAGTTTTTTGACTCGTCAATTGATCAGAATTTATAGAAAATTATGAATGAACAAGTTTCCAATATTCATATTATGAACAAACTATATTTTACACTGGTTCACCTGTCCTGGGCCCGGGGTTATTCAGGGAAAACATGTCATACATGTAGGACATTATTGAAACGTAAAGATAATTTTTTGGCAGTGGCTAGTTTGCTGGCTCTGGTTAAGCGAAAGCCAATTTTGCCAGTAAAAAAACAGTTTTTTTTTTACAGATATGCAATTCAAAGAACTGACTATTATTTCAAACATAAATTTAATTTAAAACATTTTTGATTTTGAAGCTATGTGAGGCCTAAAATAATATATTGTTTGTTTCCCCAATCCCGACCGACCCTGCAAAAATGGTCCTACTCATAAAATTTTATTGTCAAAACTTAGTCAAATATTATTTTATTCATTTCTGATTTTCAGGCTTGCCGGATCATCCGATAATGTTCAAGCTTTTTGGAAAAATAAAATTATTTCCCTACCTACCTACCCACACCTGCTTGGCAGGGTCGGGATTGGGGAAACAAACAATATATTAATTTAGGCCTGATTGATTTTGTTGGATTGCATAATGTTTTATCAAATTTATATGCAATTAGATTTTTAACTTTTATTTTTTTACATCACAACAGTTAAAAAATCTGAGATTTTATTCTTATGCATTCATGTCATGCATGCAGCATCAGACTGTGACTGATTTTAGAAGTAATTTCAACTACATGTTTTGATATGATATCATTGCTACAAATGGATGCTAATTTTTTTTTTTTATTTCTTTTTACAAATTCTCATTTTCATTTGGACTCATAAATGTATATGTATTATATGTAACATTTGTTACATTTATGTTTGTTTCTCTGCATCAGATATGAGGAGGTTTGTTAGAACTCTTAAGCTCACAATACTAGAGCATCGTCTCTTGGTACTTGTTGCAGCTAAACAATCAAATGTGTCTATTTATGTTGTAATGTTATGACAGTTTCAGGCGCCTGTTAAAACGTTTAAACCGGCTGCATTTTTATGCACCTGTCCTAAGTCAGGAGCTTGTTGTTCAGTGGTTGTCAATCGTTGGTGTGGTTCATAAGTGTTTCTCGTTTTTTATATAGATTAGACCGTTGGTTTTCCTGTTTGAATTGTTTTACACTAGTCATTTTGGGGCCCTTTATAGCTTGCTATTCGGTGTGAGCCAAGGCTCCATGTTGAAGGCCGTACTTTAACCTATAATTGTTTCATTGGCACTCATACCACATCTTCTTATATTATACATTTCCAGCAAAAATATTTTAGGTGTATTATATGAATGTCATGTAAAATACTACATTTTGTAAACATAATATTTGCTATATGTGTATGCCCCCCCTTGGGACCTAACTTGGATCATAAAATATCTTATCTCATCTTATCTGCATCTCAAATATTGTTACTGTTATCTTATTTAACTATATGAGTAATACTTTGATTCTTTTATGTTGACAATACACATTATCATAGTACTTTTCAAAAGTAAAAAATATTAAAATTCACTCTATTATCATGATTATAATACTAAGAACTGGCAAAATAACAAATTCACTATAATGCCTGTGCCAGCAAAATAGCCATTGCTATAGAAATATGCTATTTTGCCGGCTAAATTAAGATATTTTCATCAAAGCTGGCGCTGGCAAAATAGCCACTGCTAACTGTATGTTGTCAAAAAAAATGCAAAGTGACATCAAATTTTTCTAGAAAATGCACCATTTGGAACATTGTGTATAGACCTAATTACTAAATGTAATCTGGAATCTGTAACACTTGTCCAGAGAATTTGAGACACTTGAACTATACACCTTATCGCTATTTAGTCCAATCCGGAAAAAACAGTCACCTAGACAACTTTCTGTTTAGGTCAAGTGACGCAAGAACAAAGGTCATCAGTAAATGAGCTGAGGGCGGAAAATGTGTAGAAAGTAAACATTTTGAAATTTGTATAGTTTTAAATTATTTGTAATTATACTGCTCTCTTAGGGCGTCCTTGATTGACAATAAAAATATTGTATTGTATTGTATTGTATAATGATCCAATTTTTTAAATTTGACTTATGAGTTTGAATGTCCCTTTGGTATCTTTCGCCTCTCTTTTATCTTGTGGCTGTGCGGCTGTGATGTCCAGAATGAAATGTAACTAGACTTATCAGGTTTTTTAATACACCTTATCGCTTTTTGTCCGCCATTATAATGGACATCACAAAGGTTCCCGTAAAATTTTGAGGTCATAATAGAAAATATCTGACGCCACAATGGAAAAGTGATTGTAACGTATGATGTCAACAGTTCAAGCGGCGCAGATTCTCTGGACAACCGGCGCAGATTTCCAAATAGCGATAAGGTGTATAAGGTTCAACTCTATATTGTACATGAACAAAGTATTGTGTCACTGTTCATCCCCCGGCAAATTAAAGCATAGAGAATTTAAAAAAAAATACTGCCAAAAATTCCCAGCCTCACCCTTTTGGCTTTTCGCTCTTAGTCTTAAACAAAATTTTACATAGCAAGTTAAATACCCGTTGCAGGCATATGTGTGTCATATAAATTTACTTTTACTTATATATTTCATGAACAAATACCTCTGTAATTTAGCTGGAGGGGAGTTCAGATCAGTAATACTGTAAATTTCAGTCTCATTCATTGTCCGCTGTTTTGTAAACACCGCCAAAACAAGCGCCAAATCGGATTTGTCACAAATCAATGTAAACTACCAAAAGAATCCGAAGTGGAATCAGATTATTTCGATAAATAACCTGAGAAATTCAATTTATATTATTTCTTGATATGTGGGAAAGAAAATCAATTTCATAGAGATATTAATAAGCCTAAAAAAATACTCTATCCATTTTATAAATACTTTATAGTCGATTCAGAATAATTTCACCCTTCGGATTCCTCTGATCGTTTCGCTAGTTTCGCTAGTTGAATCAACCAAGTGTAAAAAGAGACACAAGCCAAGATCTATAGATACTTTAAAACATTTTTGTATTAGTTTCGTTTGTTAGCAATCAACATGACAGTAAAGATTCACATAGTATACTGGTAAGGACACGAATCTTTACAATTTATTGATTTTATTTCACGATTGTCTTTCTTTTATACTTATAGTTTATTTTTCAACTTTTATTATATAAACATGATAAATGACTAAAATGTACAACTCGTGCAAAGAATGTTATGTGGGAGAGACAGGTAATTAATATGAGGCAGGTGTTACCTGTGAAAGGGGACGAAGTCAGAAAACCTTTAGAATACTATACTATATTCCGTGTATGGGAGTATAAATTAAAAAAATGATAGAATTTGTTCATACTGTCGTAATTTCTGCTTCTTGCTATGTTTTTGTATAGTTTTAAAGGCAGCAAATACGAATAAACTCACAAAACTTGTGACTAAACTAAGGGATAAATAAATACGGCCGTCAAATCTGTTGTCTGTTCTCTCTCATCATTGGTAGCGTGAATAAATAATCAATAGTAGAAAATGATACTTTTATTAAACTTCTAGAACAGCCGATATGTTTCCATACATGTACAATATTCGAGCAACAATAATATAATTTACATACGGGGCGGAGCTACTAAAATAACATTCTTTCTCTTGTATTTTTGTACGGACCAAACGGGATCATCTTAAAATAAATTCTACAATGACAACGTAAATAAATGCAAGGCATACAGCTATCTGCGCTGCTTCTTACCTCTAGACTACGACCCTTACTTGTAATATAAACTGCGAGGCATACAGCTAAATGCGCTGCTTCTCACCTCTAGAAACCCCCGGGCTGAGCCTTGCTGCAAGCCAAATGTAAACACAGCAAAGACTGACGAACGTGACGTTGCACTGGTATTTATTTGAAATTCCCGGAAGTAAATATTCTAAGCAGGAAGAAAAACATAACGTCAAACGCTGACATAAAATATACAAGTCCTCGACTCAAAATGCTTATAATAATACACTTTTGTTACTAAAACAATCAAGACATATTATTTCTTCCAGTTGAGAGCTCACAAATGAACACTTTTGGGTTCACGATTACAATATTAACCCAACGGTAACGTTCTGAATAATACATGACAAATTTGCGCCATATATGACTTAATCGATACATCTAATAACATAAAGTAAAACGTACGTTAATTACTCATTCAATATACTAGAAATACTAGAAATAACTTCTGACAACTCATATAAACTCTCTTAATACAATAATAACAATATTTCTTTACTTGGAAATAACCAATACACACATTTACAACACATACCATAGCCGGCATAGGCGGATCCGTTGGGGGGGGGGATTTTGTTTGTAAAATTGGGTTGATCAAATATGGAATCACTGAAGCATGGCTGGAGTGGTCCCCCTAAGGTTAAATAGTTAATTGATGAAATTAACATGTTAAAATTAAATTAAATGCCTTTTATCATATTTATTCATATAGAAGTAAAGCTGTATTTGTCATTATACATAGGCGGATCCAGGGGGCCCGGGCCCCCTTTTGTGGGAAAAATTTGGTTGATTATATAGGGAATCACTGAAGCATGACTGGAGCAGCCCCCCCTTAGGTCAGTCAGTGGGCCCCCTCTTACAAAAAGTTCTGGATCCACCACTGTTATACATTTGTTAATATCTTTCAAATGACTTCGGATGTCTCTGTGAAAGAAAGACATTTTATGCACATGTACAAAATATATGTGTCTGCATTTACATGTGACAAGGGCGCATATTAGATGTTAGTTATACGTCCTTGATTTACCTTAATTTTTAAAAGATATAATACATTTTCAAATATAGAGGTATTATATTTTGACCAATAGATTGAAATGGTAAAAAACACAAAACGGAAAGGGTTACACAAAGACCTTGTTCTGTCAGAATTACTGACTAAATCATGTACATGTACATTTTTTGTACCTGCACACAATGATAAGCACTGGAGAAGAACTGAATGTAACACACGCCTGCTTTACGACATGTATCTAACTCCTTGACAGATTACTATGCATCAGTTACCTTATGACATACAACAATTATGAGTTATACTATTTGCACTAACACTTGCAAAGTCAACCTGAAGGATAAATTCTCAAACTGCATGGTTACATCTGAGATTTCTAGAACCACTGATATTATAAGTAGTCTAAAGTTATATGTAATGTGGAAGGTGATATGCAGTACTATTAAATCTTGATGCCAGACATAACTGACATACCAATACAATAGACAATAACGCTATTGAAGCTTGCGGACTGCAACTAGTGAAAACTTGAACAGTTCTGTGCTTTTTATAGTCTGCATGTGACACACTCTGCTCCTGCAGTAAATATTTTTGGGGGATTTTGTTTGTAAAATTGGGTTGATCAAATATGGAATCACTGAAGCATGGCTGGAGTGGTCCCCCTAAGGTTAAATAGTTAATTGATGAAATTAACATGTTAAAATTAAATTAAATGCCTTTTATCATATTTATTCATATAGAAGTAAAGCTGTATTTGTCATTATACATAGGCGGGTCCAGGGGGCCCGGGCCCCCTTTTGTGGGAAAAATTTGGTTGATTATATAGGGAATCACTGAAGCATGACTGGAGCAGCCCCCCCTTAGGTCAGTCAGTGGGCCCCCTCTTACAAAAAGTTCTGGATCCACCACTGTTATACATTTGTTAATATCTTTCAAATGACTTCGGATGTCTCTGTGAAAGAAAGACATTTTATGCACATGTACAAAATATATGTGTCTGCATTTACATGTGACAAGGGCGCATATTAGGTGTTAGTTATACGTCCTTGATTTACCTTAATTTTTAAAAGATATAATACATTTTCAAATATAGAGGTATTATATTTTGACCAATAGATTGAAATGGTAAAAAACACAAAACGGAAAGGGTTACACAAAGACCTTGTTCTGTCAGAATTACTGACTAAATCATGTACATGTACATTTTTTGTACCTGCACACAATGATAAGCACTGGAGAAGAACTGAATGTAACACACGCCTGCTTTACGACATGTATCTAACTCCTTGGCAGATTACTATGCATCAGTTACCTTATGACATACAACAATTATGAGTTATACTATTTGCACTAACACTTGCAAAGTCAACCTGAAGGGTAAATTCTCAAACTGCATGGTTACATCTGAGATTTCTAGAACCACTGATATTATAAGTAGTCTAAAGTTATATGTAATGTGGAAGGTGATATGCAGTACTATTAAATCTTGATGCCAGACATAACTGACATACCAATACAATAGACAATAACGCTATTGAAGCTTGCGGACTGCAACTAGTGAAAACTTGAACAGTTCTGTGCTTTTTATAGTCTGCATGTGACACACTCTGCTCCTGCAGTAAATATTTTTGGTCTTCAATGAATAGAATATATTAACAAGAAATATTCAAACGAGAAAAAGTATCAGCTTAATTTTGGTACAAATCATTTAAACAAAAACAATTATGATATACACTACAGCAACAAACAATAACTGCATAATTAAGGGCTCCAATTTAGAACAGGAGCATGCATAACATGGTATGAAAAACCCCATTAAAAATCAGTTGAAAAGGGCTTACTTAAACTTATCGATATATATACGGTAGCACGAAGTAAAATTAAAAAAAAAAGTATAGTTTTTTTTAAAACACTTGTCAAGAAGGTATATTTATTAGTAGGTGTGTTAAAAGGCAAGTGGAAGAGAAGGTGAAGTTCTGTACCAATTAAATCTGATAACCTCCAGAAAATGTCACGAAGAGTTCAATTCCACTTTATTGATTTTTACCATATCCTCGAAAGGCAACTATTCAATGTCACGAATAGCTGACAACAGTTATCTTCTTAAAATGTACAGAAAAAAAAGTAAAATTAACTGACGACTGCCAAAAAAATCCACAAACAAAAAACATGTCAAGGCCTTGTATAGCCAACTATACAGTATGGGTTGTTCTCTTTTTTAAAGGCTGTACGGTGGCCAATAATTGTTTACATCAACTTCATTTGAACTTTAATCGATAGTGGTCTCATTGCCAATTACACAACATCTCCTTTACATTGTTTTAACATCTGAAAAACGCCCCACTATACAAAAGTATAGAAATGGGCATAAGTAGTTACAGTTTCTGTTTCTACATAGAGAAGAAACACTTACAGTGGTAAAGAAAGTATCTTATTTTTTTGCTTCAGACTTTAAGCACTGATCGTAGGTTGTATAATTCAATTTACATCATATCTCCTTCGGATGCATGGCAATTGAGAAATGGCCATGGGTTTGCAAGTGTCTACAGTGAATGTAGCAGGTGATAACATAAAACTTTTCTTTAAAATTTCTGATTGTTTTTCATTGTTTCTTCACCATGTTCACTGCATCGCGGTACAACACAAATTTCTCACTTCTTACTATAAGATTTGATGATGTGAAGTTGAATTCACTTTTTACTTCTCATCAAGGTCTTTCCTTTCTTCCTTCATATCAAAATGATCTTTTGTACCAAGTATCGGGTTAATAAAAGCTTCCTTGTGGTAGTGGCACCAAAGTGTACTATTTACCTTATAAGAGTTATTTCCCCTATTACAAAAAACATTGTTATTGCTACTTTTCATAAACTATAAGACATGTAAGAGTTAGCGACAAATGTTTTTTTTTAAATGTTCCTTGTCACATGTCGCAACTTTAAATAATATTAACCGAAGCAATCCATTGACTTCTTATAGGGGTTATCTCCCCTTGAATATTTTACTTTCTTGGTATGCAGAGGAATGTCATAAACCGTAAGTTTTTGCATGATCCTAGGGGCTCGGTTCCATGTGTTTAATCAACTAACTAACTAACCAACCAACCAACCAGCCAATCAATCAATCAAACAATCAATCAGTCAATCATTGCATGCATGTTTCCGTCTCATGTGTTTAATATGGGGTCCAAGATCTCATTTGTTTTTTTTTCCCGCTTGTTTCTAGAGACCCTTTCCCACATGTTTAATTAATCAATCAACCAACCAATCAATCTATCAATCAACCAATCAACCAACCAATCAATCA